AGCTCCTCCAGATCACCATAACTTTTCCAGTAGTCGGTTGTTATTTGGCTCCTGATAACAGCCGTGAGGGTGTTATGGTTGCGGTTGTTCAACTGTTCGACGACGCCTCTCTTTCGAAAGATGTCGAACATCCCGATTATCCACAGCTGCCGCTTCCGTCGGCCCCTGTTGTACTTCCGGCGCGATATGAAGGATTCATCCATTTGCACATTCACTCCTGGGCCACCTACTGTTACGGCATGGCTACGGAGTGCATGCGAGCACACGTTTCGGCACAATGCGAACCCGTATCCAGCATTCCTTTCGGCCACACCGCAGACGGACGCCACCACTCTGACAGTCTTGCCCGACACAAAGGCCAAACATATTCCCAACAGCTTACTCAAGCTTAACCGGCTGTTGAAGAACATGGATTTGGACCTTATAGACTTTTTCCTGTGGCATTTTCCACAACGGAAAACGTTACCGTCCCCATTCCGCGCAAGCTGTCTTTGGACCATTAAGTTTGCGCAATCGCACCGAAGCCGTGAGGGCAGCAGTCATTTTTGTTGACAGTACACGACCACATCGCTCGAATTGAGAGTTTTCACTAACTGTTCATATAGCGTATGTTGAGATAGTCTGACAGATCGTGCACTGCGAGTGTCGGGGCTGCAACACAGAAAAAAATCTTCTGCTACCAAGTCAACAGTTTCAGCACTGTTAAGTTGCTGTTACAATCGTCCTTAGCACAGCTCCTAGCACGTTGTAAGCTGCATAAACTACTTCTTTTACAGGGTTCCTCCAGCAAAGGAGGGCTTCTAAAAAATATATTTTAACATACCTTCTTTGTCTTTCAGCTAGCCATACAGTTTCCCTCAAGGTAACCAGCGGCGTTGTCCTCATTGTCGGCGAGCTGCCTGATGCAATGGGGTTCGCGCATAAGCTGTCTTCTGCGTCTACTCCCGAAGGGCTGAATTGAAGAAAAATTTTATCATTTCCCAGCCAGTGCAATTTGCATTTGTCAGAAATGTAACCTTACATTAAGAAAACTATTCTTCGTGTTTAATCCTAATATAGCTTAAACTTTGCTATTAATTGGCTCCCGCATCTCCCATTGTTAGCACTTCCAAGCAAGCATATTCTGTCGCTTGTGCCATCTGCCAAAACGATTTACACAACGCGCACATTTAATGCTACAATTTTAACAATCTTGCCTTGCTCTGATTGGTTGCCACTCTCGCACGATCAGTTTTGAGCTTCCTTGGACTTCAATATTCAGTTATCTGATTATTCGCACCGATAGCATGCTTCCCGGTTGATTTTCTGTCGCTGTAACGTCAACTTTGCGCTCGCGTTCCTCTCCCTACACCTTTCGGCCGTCTTTATCTTCTTATTAAAACAATCGTTCCTTTTCCGGCTCTCATTCCCATTATTATTTCCAGTTATCCCGTCCATAGCTCGTCGGTTTTCTGCCCCATCCATATCACCCCCTGTGACCAGGTGCCCGTAAGACCGAAGGACCTTGGTTTCCCAATATCGCCTTGGCCTCACTAATCATTCTCTCCAAAAAACTTACCACCTGAAACGAAGGTACAAGGGACGTAGAAGTTTTTTCTACGCCTTCGTGTTACGAGTTTCATAGACTTTCGCCACACCAACGTTGTCGAAGGTTGGTTAAACATATTTCGTTAAACAAGAATTTGTACGATATTCTGTTTTGCTTATTGGAGGATATCTATGCAAGTAAAAATCATTGAGTCGAGTGGAGATACGGTGGAACTGTTTGTTTAGGGAACACATATTGTGGGTAGCCTGATTTGCACTCAAAATAATACGTGTTTTTCTGATATACATTCTTTTTCGTTGGAAACAAGTATTTTGCGCTGGTCATGTCATTTGCTTAAAAAATACAAAACGCGCGCCGTCAAGAATTTTCAAGTCAGAACCGTATACCATACATCTGTTCCTTACAGACGTGCGTTTCGAGTTACGTTGTAAACGCTGCTGTTTTTCCCTCAAATTAGTCAAATATTCAGGAAATTGCAGTAAACGAACGGCTCGTAACTTGAAGAGGTCCTTGAACTTTGTAAATCTGACTTTGCGTTTTCAATACGTTTAAATCGACACTACTTCCTTTCGCGCCATTAATCCCTAATAGCGCAGATTTCGAGCCGAAGATGTACTCCGGACAGGGTATTATGTTTAATGATTTCCAGATAGAGCAGCAATCTTTCAGAGAACTCAATCGCCACGAAAAGAGCCTTGGTCTTCTTACCGAAAAATTTGTCCAGTTATTGAAGGAAGCCCCTGACGGGATACTTGATTTGAAATTGGTAGGATTTTATTAGGGGCTAACGACTAGTAGGCTGCGGACTTTTTAGCTGTCCGACAAAAACGTCGAATTTATGACATAACAAATGTTTTGGAAGGCATAGGACTTATTGAAAAGCGTACCAAGAACAGTATCCAATGGAAGTAAGTTCGTACCCGACTTACACAGATGCACGTGTCCGCGTCTCCTATTTATATTTAAAAACCTTTTATTGCATACTTTTCTTAAGTAAGCGCCCGATCACACGCTGGAGTCATTAAGTTTCAAAAAATTCTAAAAAGTCCTCATTTATTTTCCGTGGGGTGTCAAAAAAGCATAAAGTGAATTTATTTTTTGATTTTATCATAAAAAGCCAGGGTGTTCTGTTTTAAGCCAGTGAAGAAAAGTCTCATTAGAGGTAGAATTCTGTACGAGGTAAGTACTTACCTCGTACAGAATTCTACCTTTACTTAAAAATCGATTTGCACGTAGACAATGCGCGGGTATCAGGAGATGACTAATCCAAAGAACAGATCTGCAAAACTTACATATATGGCCGACAACACAGCATGTGAAATCGCCCCGCCGAGTTAATACATGTGGCAGTGCGTATATTTCCGCGTCCGTCCACTAACACTACCTTATAAAATCTCTTATATCCCATTTACTACATCGTGAAATAGCGGCCATGAACCGCCATTCGATAAGTTTGCTTACCACCCCTCCCTTGCGGTTAGGTTTTTTAGACAAAGTGCTAGAGAAAACAATCTAGTACAAATGATCCCAGCGGTTGTTGGGGCCCCATCAATATCTTAAATCCCTAAGAAACATCGTGCGAAATGTTCACTCACAGTATTATGGTCCATGCTTCGGTGTCCACGAGAACCGAAGCGCTCCGAAACTCTGGTGCAAGGGTGAGGGCAAATAGTATGCGGGGTGGACTACTGAACCGGGAACGAACCCTTGCTATTCGATGCTTATTAGTCGTTTTGGGTTTGGCTCTCGATGTAACAACTGTGAGAGAGTGTGTTTTGCTAATCACGCGCGAGACTCCCTAATGTCGTAAAACGTCGGAAATCCAACACTGCCGAGATCCTGGCCACAGAAATGCGGTCTTGTTTTAGGACCGAGCCGAGGATGGAGGCAATAGCCAGAGGTCATCGCCCAAGGCGTCCGTCTCTGGGACGGGAGAAATTATAAGATTAACTCAGAAGCGTCGTAGTGACTGAATCAACGGAAGAACCCCGCAGCTGTGTGCGAGGTAACTCGACCCAGGTCCCGCAACGATGCTTCTGTGCGTCAAATCATAAAGCTGGCAGTAATTTCGACTAGGGATGACCGACAGAAGTGTTACTCCGAAATAGCGACTTCCATGGAACACGCATTAACTGTTGGTGACACTAAAACCGTCAAATCGCTCGGCAACATAGTGATCTTTTTTCGCGATGTAAATGGCGGCTTTATTGTTGACAACTCGACTGAGGTCGATTGCTGGCATGAGCACATCGAACACATCAACTTTGATGAGCAACTCGCACGCTTGCTCCTTTGTGCAGCAGTTTCATTTCTCTTGAGCTTATGCAACGTCTTGCGACCTCCCCTCTAAAACCGAAGTCACCGATGCAGTAGAGAGACTACGCAACTACACAAAGTCCAGATAGAACATATTACCGCTGAAATCTACAAGTCTGTCAACATCGACGCCCCGGCTCCAAGAAGTGATTGAGCAACCGTGGAGAGATTAGGTAATTCCGAATGACCGGGTTTCGAGTATCCTAATTAATATATTCAAAAAGGGACATAAAACAAAGTGCAGGAACTATCGCAGCATAAGCCTCATTGACTCATTATCACTATTGTTCTACTTAGACGATTCCAGTCTGAAGAGGATCCTAGGTCGAGGCCAAATAAAGTAGAGGCGTGGATGCGTGGAGCAGATATTAGCACTGAGGCGCATTCTGGAATCCTATCATGTCTACATGTGACAGGCGGCCGTATGCTTTGTTAACTTTGCCGCTCTGTTCGCTTCCGTCATTCGTGAGTCACTGGTGAATAATGGAACTAGATGGTGTACCAACCAAAATCACTGTCCTGACCAAGGCTTTCTATTGCTCCAAAACGGCACGAGTTTTGGTCCACAATCTTTCCCGGCTGTACAAAATCCGGTCTGGTGTGCGACAGCCCTACGTCCCATTGCCCATTGTGTTCAGCTAGGTCGTTGCTTGGAATCTCGTAAGCGTCATTCACAGTTTTGACTGTGGGGGGTTATCACCCCTAGGGATTAATAACCGTCAAATTGGAGAAGGAGGCAGTATCAAATACATTAGGGTGAGGATGTTAGCGAATGGATGGAGTAAGGATGACATTGTTCCCCGAATCCATGTTTGTGGCCGGTTTTTTCAATCCTGCGAAAGCGCCTATAAATCCGTCGTGGCATCTCCATCGCCGCGGTGATCCTTGTGTGCCATGCATCCTTCCAGTTAGTCCTCTATGGTTATTAATGCTGGACTTTGAAGATGGGCGAAGGCTGGAGGTATTTGAATGCCGCTGCTTGGGAACCATCCATCCACAGAAGTACACCGACTTCTCAAAGGAAACTGTTCGCAATCCCTGCGACGTTATTGCGGGAATATCACAGGTCATCCAAGGAATGCGCCTAAGCTAGATTTGGTACGTTCTGTCGTCCACCTCACGAGCTTTGTGGCAGTGCCCTCGATCCGACGCCGCAGTCCACCTGGTAGCGCCAAAGAGAATGGCAACTCGATACCTGGCATGACACCGTTCGTCAAGATATAGAAGCGGTAGTCGGACCTTTGGTCTCCGTTGCAGGAGAATAGAATAGGTGAGGCTTCCGCTACCGCATCGCGCATGGAGAAGTACAGTCCGTGTCATCACCGAGACTGGCATGATCACAGCCGTATCATGTACGAATACCGGCCCTAACGTAAACCAAAACCGTAGCACTAATATTAAGCCTGCCCCTACAGTTAACGTTAACCATAATCATAACACCAATTTCGAATCAAATCGTCATTTCTCTGAAATTTGGCGCAAAGCCGCGGATATTACCAATCCTTACCAACGTATCATACACAAATTTCACACTACGGTTGTGGGGGCAGTCTGTTATTTTCAATCCCAAGGATGTACCGGTGTCTATCACTTGTTGTTCGTGACCTCAAGGAAGCCTAATTCCGGTACTTGTACTTGTTACGACTGTGATCATGCCTGATCTAGCCGGCCTCAATGATGTC